GCTGTGCATGATTCTAGGCTGTAACAGATCGAGATTGATCCTTGAATTTGGGAGGTGATATTTGACAAATCATTTCCTTTTTTCTTTTTTCCAACACTTTTTGCACGACAAAGGGCATTAGAACATTATGTTTTGGTAAACTATGTAGAGATTGAGAACTTATTTTGATTACAGGGTTCACTTCTAAAGCAGCTGGCAATAGCAAATAAGAGCATTGGTGGTGGCGTTGTTGTTGTCCTGGCAGAAAGAGACAAGGAGGAGATGGAGATGGATATAGCAAAGCTTGAATTCAGCTTCATGGGCACTTCGGTTATATGCAGAAGTGGCAGTCCTCTCATTCTTGCGGACTTGAAAAAGGTAGTCAGAGCAACCCTTCAGTCATTCTTCACAGTTTTCCTTGTTAACATTCACTTTCTTTATACAATAATACATTGGATACTTGGTTGAATTTTCTCTTCGTCTGTCTCATTATGCACCAACATATGCACACACACATATGGATTTCAGGATACTTTCTTTATTAGTCTCTTTTCATATTCTTAGGTTTCAGTTTCAAAGGCACGTGCTATAATCGTACTGGCAGCAGATGAAAATGCAGATCAGGTTTGCTTACTTCTTAAATCTTATGTTCTTCTTGCAGTTCTCATTCCATTGACACCAAGATGGGTTTCTTTATTATATTCTCTTTTATATCATCAGAGTGATGCACGTGCCTTGAGGGTTGTGCTTAGCCTTACTGGAGTGAAAGAGGGACTGAGGGGTCATGTTGTTGTAGAGATGAGTGATCTTGACAATGAACCCCTGGTGAAGCTTGTTGGAGGAGAGCTAATTGAGACAGTGGTTGCACATGATGTGATTGGACGGTTGATGATACAGTGTGCTCTGCAGCCCGGCCTTGCACAGGTAGTTAAATAAAATGCTATAGTAGAATATCTGAAACCTAAAGGGAGCAGAAAAGCAATTATTTAACTGTTCTTCCCCCTGTAGCAGAAATTTTCATTTTTGTTCTTCATACATGCCATCATCTACATAGAAATCTTTTGTTGTGACCTTTTCTTATTGTTCGGTCCTTGTAGTCTAAATAGAAGAAGATTCTATCATTTGGTTCAGAAGCTGTGGTAGGATGAGTTTTCATTGTTTTTCTTATTATTTGAGTGATTCTCTTGGAAACTCACTATAGTACAGGCCTTTGTAAACCCTATAAATGTTAGGACTATAGGTACCCGAGACCAGACAATGCATGTTTATCTGCCTGGGAATGATTAATAGTACCATAATTACCCGGCAAAATTATAACTATTGCTCACTTTGTTGGGGCATTGAGCCCTCTTCATTCCTGTCAGAGATCCATGTCAGCCAATTCGGCCCAGCACTTTAATTTATTTATTTTCCTCTTTCACGGGTGTCTAGAACTTAGAATAACTTATATTCCCGTCAATTCTGGAATTGTTTCTTACAGATATGGGAAGATATCTTGGGGTTTGAAAATGCTGAGTTCTATATCAAAAGGTGGCCCCAGTTGGATGGATTGCGGTTTGAAGATGTACTCATTTCCTTTCCGGACGCCATCCCTTGCGGAGTGAAAGTTGCTGCAGAAAGAGGGAAGATAATAATAAACCCAAAAGATGAATATATATTAAAAGAGGGTGATGAGATACTTGTGATAGCTGAGGATGATGACACATATTCCCCTGGCTCTTTACCAGAGGTCAGCCTTTCTCTACATATTAGGCAGCAACCTAAGCCTTCTGTATGATGTGCACAACTGTTGCAGTTTTTAGGGGGTTTCTTCTTCTTATTATTATCATTATACATATATGTATATATATACATTTACTTTCTCATGCATTGCATCCATGTAGGGTCTTTGAATTGGTAAATCATATGGCATGATCTCAGATTCCAGTACACCCCTCTTCTAGAAGCTAGTGAAGTGTGCATCTCCATTAAAAAATAACAGATATGTACATGTAGTCTCCAAGTACACCACCAAATAATAATAATATTATCAGTGGTTGTATAATCGTAATAGCATGAGAAATAGATTCAATAAGATTATTTCTGTTGGTTTATAAGTCGTTAAAACTCTACTCCTTTTCCTAGTATGGACAAGAAAGAAATTATAGCCATTTCATGAAACAAGGGAAGCAATAATCTTCTGTCTATCTGCTTGCATGTAACACTAATGCAGTAGTCCGATCCTACAAAGTAATGATTGATTGTCTCCTACACCACCATTTTAGCATATATGTAATAGTTGCCACATTGTCTTAATGTAATATAAAGGTTTGGATTGTGTTCTTAACCCTTTTGTCCCATGCAGGTGCGAAGGGGTCTCTTCCCAAAGAAAGTGGACCCTCCAAAATTTCCAGAAAAGATACTATTTTGTGGTTGGCGACGGGATATTGATGATATGATCATGGTAATCCACTGATATCTATTAATGTCTGTACTTTGGTTCAATGGATCTTACTTTTTTCTCACCCAGCCATCTGCACTCCTGACGACTTGCATCAACTATCTTCATATATATGTTGGAGGAGGTTACACCAATAATGTGCTTAGTCTTCACCTCTTTACTAGTTGTAGCAAATTTATTAATTTCTTGAACTTTAAACATGGACCAGTAGCAGTAGTTTTATCTAAAAGGGGATCTTGACCAACGTTTTTGTCTGGAGGGGTACAATTTTAGTTGTTCACTGTTAGAACATCTTTGACCATAACAACAATAAGTTGTTGGGAATACTTTTTTGCACATGGTAAGCAAACCCTCTATCTTCATTTGTATAAATTGAGAAGTTACATACTGCTGTGCTCAAAATTCTGGAAGATCTGATCGACCTTTATCCCTTGTCATGCCGAATATATGTACCAAAGATAATGGTTTTGAGGAAGTGGCAACTGTTTTTAGGTGCAGCCTTCTGTGTGCAAAATGGAATCTCTGCATTTTTTCTACCTTAATGTTTAACAAAAGATAATGTGCATGTATTCATAGCGATATCCATCTGTTTTTTCAAGTTGATTCTGAAAATTCTCTCTCACGCCCTTCAGTCCATCTGTATGATTAATTGAACAAATCCTCTATTACAACAATCATGGTCTGTGTGTTAGTTTTAAACGCTTACCGGGTAAATTATTGGATATCACTTACCTTATGGGGTGAACATGGCAAGGAATAAGAATCTTACCCGGTAAGAGGCATAGCAAGGGTTGAGAATCTTACCTGGTAAGCGCTTACCGGGTAGAAGAGCTTAACGGCAATCCCCTATGATAGCCGAGAATGTTATCTGATAAGGTAAGTGAGGGTGGTGACTCCCAAGTGCTTACCCAGTAAGCATTTGTTAAACGGCCCCTTAGTTACTAAAAGTAACTATTGGACTATCATTTTAATTCTAATATTTTCTCTTTCAGTCCATCTGTATTACATTGAACAAAATTCTAAATTTCAACAATCATGGTTGGTGTGTTGGTTTTGCTGTTACTTCCTACATTGTTATATTCTTTGTCTGTCATCTACCAGGTTCTAGAGGCATTCTTGGCACCAGGTTCAGAGTTATGGATGTTTAATGAGGTCTTGGAAAAGGAGAGAGAGAAAAAGTTGGTCGATGGTGGACTTGATATTCTAGGACTGGTTAACATTAAACTCGTCCATCGTGTAGGGAATGCGGTCATCAAAAAGCATTTGGAGACCCTGCCTTTGGAGACGTTTGATTCAGTAAGTTTCCTCGTCACTACATTTTCATTCCAGTATGGGACTATATCTGTAAGTTGATAGGATCAAATAAGTTTTAGGAAGACAAAAGGTAATTTATAACATCAAGTATAGAAGTAGAAGAAACAATAAACAACATCAAGTTACAAGTAATTTATAAAAACTTTAAGTAAAGTTAATTGTCGGTCAAATGGGTAACTATGATAGATATTGGTAACGGTTGCACAGTACAGTAATTTTATATCTGATGAACTGATTAATAACTTGAACATATTCACATTACACTTGTTTGTGTTTTTCAAAATTATTGTTGCTACTGTTATTTCAATTTGTTCAACCAATTCAAGTTCACACCAGCATTTTTGAATATATAACTCGAAATGTTCTATAAAGTTGATTTTTTGACATTGCTGATTAGATTACTAACTCTGAAAGGACAGATTCTGATTCTTGCAGATGAATCTGTGGAAGACTCGATTGTGCATTCCGATTCACGATCTCTAGCCACCCTTCTCCTCATCCGAGACATTCAGGTAACTTTTGAAGGTGAATAGTAATAATAATAATAATTGTTAATGAGTTCGTATTGTGGAAGTAAACATGTTTATTTATTCCATGGATGGTTGCAGTCGAAGCGTCTTCCTTATAAAGACACAAGCTCAACGCCTCTCCGTGTTTCTGGTTTCTCTCATAGCTCTTGGATTCGTGAAATGCAGCAAGCTTCTAACAAATCAATAATAATAAGCGAGATCTTGGATTCTAGGACTAGGAACCTTGTTTCCGTAACCAAAATTAGCGATTACGTGCTATCAAATGAGCTCGTGAGCATGGCTCTAGCAATGGTAGCAGAAGATAAACAGATAAATCGTGTCCTTGAGGAGCTCTTTGCTGAAGAGGTACCCTTCATGCACAATAAACCATTGTCGAAATTTCTCAAGAGTAATTTTAACTCCTCACCATTTGCAGGGAAACGAGATGTGCATTAAACCAGCAGAATTCTATCTGTATGATCAAGAAGAACTCTGTTTCTACGATATCATTATCAGGGGTCGTGAAAGGCACGAAATCGTTATTGGGTATCGGTTGGCAACAGCAGAACGGGCCATAATCAATCCTGTAGACAAGGATAAGCCGGTTAAGTGGTCCCTTGATGACGTTTTTGTCGTAATCGCGTTGGGCGAATGAGCTGCCTCGGCATCAAGCTACAGTAAATACGTGTCGGAAAAAGGCAATCCTTTTGGCATAAGCCCTGTTTCGACCAGTTTATTCGAGTAAACTACTAATGTTCATTTGGGCTTCTCTCAAAAATCACCCAAAGGGGATGATTTAACAGTTGGGAGGACCGATCCCTTTTTAAGATAGGTGTAAAGTTGAGTAAGTGCATGCTGTACAGTTGCGAATGTTTCTATCGGTATTTTTTCATTTGAACGGTACGAAGAGATAAATGTTGTAAAGATTGTGCGGAAAGTTTCGAGAAGAAGTGATCCCGGAAACGAAACATACTAAAAAACAATCGTCTTCGAACTTGTGAACTTGATTGTTTGTTACTGTGAAATGTGAATGAACATATTTCTTTCATCCAAACCGTTAAGAGTTTATGATGTCTATTGTTTAAGAATATATCTTATCGGTTTATCAGGTAACAGGTTACTTTGTTGATGTGGTATCCAATCAGGCAAAGACGTTTTTTATGTCTTCTTTCACTTGCTTCTCGAGCTTTCTCGATGGACCGATCATCATCTTTGCGAGTATGAACACAACCCGACTATGATATGGATGGATTATGCATTGCAATTTACGTTAGAATATGAACAAATTAACCAAAAACTAACATGCAAAACTACCAAAATAGGACTAAGGAGGCGTTTGGTTCGTAGATTCTAAAGAAATCTGATGAAATTGGAATGTTGAATTCCATTGACCAAATTTCATTCCCTCGTTTGGTTCATTTTTTTTCATGTAAGGAATCTTCAAAATCCTACAAATTCCACAAGTGAAGGAATTTAATATTCCAAAGCTACATTCTGTGAACCAAACAGACAGATTCCAATTCCTTAACAGATTCCATTTCAATGTCTGCCAACCAAACAGGTGGTCAAAACCTGACAACATTCCATTCCAATTCCTTTAAAGTCAAATTCCTTTAACAAATTTCATTCCATACAAAAACATTCTGCGAACCAAACGTCACCTAAAAGTATGTCCAATAAAACACAACACTCTCAAAGTGCTATAACCGTGATTTCCATATTATTTCGTGTTCCAAATTTCTTCTTGTTTGTATTATTTTCACTTTCTTAAGAGACATCATCATGCAATTCCGGCTCAAACGTTGGTTCTCAAGTGAGGATCTCGGTTTCCGATTTTGTCATCAAACTAATCATCAACAGTTGGCGGAAAACACAATCGTTACAACTTGGACGTTGTGTCGCATGCAAAAGAAAGCAAAATGTAAAAAATGTGGTACGTTTTTTTAACATCAGTTAGGCCCATTCAACGATGTAAAATCTTCCAATGTGATAAAAGAATCAATCAAAAACACCTTCTTGCTTTTGTTTTGTTTGAAGTGCCTTCTGGACAGAATCTATGTTATATATTTGAAAGAGGTTGCTCCGTTCGATGAGAGACATGAACAAGAAGCTGCGAGAGAAATATCAATCTGAAATGACACACAAAAAGGTTTTGTATCGGAACAACGATTGTTACGGGTTCGACTCAAATGCAAAATGATAAACGTGGAACGAGTTGAAGTTATAGACATATTTAAATTGTGAAAAATGGCAAAAAATGAATAAAAACGTTACTTTTGAACTTTTTTTTATTAACCTGGATATAGCGAGCCGATTAATCCCAGACGACCATCTGTTTTACAGATAGTCCGGAGTCATCGCATTTGAACCTCCATGGTCACAAGGGGATTTTTATTTCTTCTTGAATTTGAACCTGAGACCTCCAGATAATTTTGACATTCTTTGGAGCCAAGCTCAAACCAATAAGACACCACCCTTATGGTTGTTACTTTTAAACTTGATAAGTTATGTCACATAATTACTAAATTATCAATTTAATGTCAAAAATTATTTAATTGAAAAAAATATAAATCAGTATTCAAATTTATGTAAAGTAATAAATATAGAAATGAAATATAAATTTATGAAAATTTTGGGTTATATTGAATCTCGATTTAGATTTTTATTTTATTGATATATGATTTTAAGACAACATTAAAATAAAATAAAATAAAATAAAAAGAACCGTGAAAAATTGAAACCATTGTGGATGATAGGGGTGTTTGCGGTGTAGGTCAAACTATAAACCGCACTATATATACCTTAAACCGTAGAAAATCGCACCTCAAAATATGGTGCAGTACGGTTTATGTGGTTTTTATCTAAAGCACTTTACGCCTACAATATGATAATAATAAATTATAACTTTATTATGAAATCAACAATAACATGACCGTAGTCCAAACAACTAAAAAGTTTAAATACGTTAGACTGCCAAATACATGCTACATAATAAACGATACTCTAAGAAGTAAAACAAGGGGAAAAGTCCAAAAAAAACCCAATGGACTTTACTGTTTAGAATAGTTATGTCATTGGACAATTTTTGAAACAAATAAAGTTTTGGACAAATTTTTGGAACAAATAAATTTTTGGACATTGTAGAACTTGTTAACTAAGTCATTGAACATTACAAAACCCGTTAAACAACTCATTGGACTTTCTAAAATCTGTTAAATACATTATGTTAGTGGAAAAAGTCCGAAAAAACCCAATGAACTTTCATATTTTGAACGATCAAGTCATTAAACATTTTTTGAATGAAAAAGGTACGTACATTTATAAAAAGAACAAATATATCATTCTCATTACTTTTCATAAAACATAAAAGTTGTATACAAAAAATAATAATCTGCATACAAAATTTGGATATAATTTTACCAAAAGTTAAACCAAAATATATACCAAAAATGAACCAAAATATGTAACAAAAGTTGCGCAAAAAAATACTAACAATTGCGCCAAATATACCAAATGTTGCGCAAAAAAATACCAACAGTTGCGCCAAATATACCAAAAGTTACCCAAAATATACCAAAAGTTGCGTTAAAATATATTAAAGTAATGCCTAATCTATGTTAAGGTCATGGTATGAACTATTCTTCATTTGCATCATTAATTTCTGGTGGAGATATAACCATTTGACTTTCTTGTAACCCTTCTTGATGTCTAACGACATCATAACTTTCATAATGTTCTTCATCACCAACAGTAGTATCACCTTCATCATGGTCTTCATCATTGCCAACAACCTCTCTTGAAATTGAATATGGTAGGATGCCTTCGGGCCATGCTGGTTGTGGCATACCTGATGATGTCTTTAATGATGAAGATAAAGTGTAAGCAATAAACATAAAAAATGTTATTTGAATCTGAAAAATAAATAATGGCTTACCCCAATCATTGATTCTCCCATGACTGGATTATAAGAGACCCCTACATATGATGGTATCCTCCCACCTCTATTGCCTTTTCAACCTCTGTTGCCTCTTCTATCTCTATTGGCTCTTCTTGTTGTAGTCGGTTTTGGAATGTTGAGTCTTGGTCTACCTTTTGGCTTAACAAGTTTAGGTGGTGGGTTCTTATTTTCATTCCTACAAGTCCTAACATTATGTCCCGTTTCCAAGCAATTGCTACATGTCATTGCCTTCCCAGATTGAGTCACCCTTGTACCTTGCTCTCAGATTCTGATATTTTCCTTTTGATGGATTGTCTACCAGGCATTCTCCTTTCCTTATGTGGGTTTGGTTTGATGTAAGGTGTTGGAGTCCACATGTTGCTCCCATTCAATGGTCTTATAATATTCTCATAGGCTATTTTGAAGAGATCCTTAGTAAATCATTTACTAACATAATCCTTTGGATCCTTATTGATAAAATGTATAACAGCAATGGAATGCACACAAGGAATGTATGATATGTCCCACAATCTACAACTACATTTTCTAGCATCTAAGTCCTCATAACTATTTCGTGTTTCAAACACATTCCCACCATTAGGGATAACATACCAATATCTACATATGAAAAAGAATACATTAGCATACAAGATCATATTACTATCATAGACAAACATACATCATAAAATTACCATCATCGATAAGCATACCTATGATTTTCTCCCAATTTCTTTAACTTTTTCCTTATGGCCGGACAAACAACTGATTCCCATTCTTGTGCTTTGCTTAACATTTTGTAATGTCTCTCCATAACAAATATCCTTATCTCCTCTAACATTGTGATTATGGGTTTTCTTCTTGCATCAACAATTATTGAATTAAATGACTCGCAAATCCCATTTTCTACAGCTTTACAAGCTCTATCGGATTGGAAAAATGCCCATACACCATGTATTAGGGTCCCTTTCAATCAAGTGATTATACGCATCAAGGTTTTGTATCTTAAAACTTTTCCATGTGTGACATGAAATCTGCCTCAAAAGTGGATGTAGTTGCTGTCCAAAAAATGTTTCAGTACTCAACACCAATAAACCTTTTATGAAAATTAGCATATATGTGTTTGCATACGGTGCCGACTCTTTCATAGCTTTAACAATGCCCTATTGCATAAAATTGCAAAGGAAAGCATAGTTAGAATGAGATGTATGAGGTAAGTTTGGTTCTAACACCTCACAAATGACATAATTAGATGATGTGAGGGTTCAAAATACAAAGTACATTGCCTAAATGGAAATCGGGTAGGTAAATAGAGTGCCTAAATGGGAAAAATCTATCCAAAACTTAAACGGATGATCTAAATGGTGATGTAAAGGTTGGAACACATTTGAATAAGTTGATATGTAGTGTTAAAAGTGACGAAAGTCAAAAAAGTCACGTAGATTGCAGTTTATGCAAGTTTTACAAATTGCATTGCCATTTCGGTAAACCACGGGCACAACACTCAAATGGGAGGTATTTGACGAGATGTAATGCTTTGGAACTTAGTTTTGGATCTATTAGGAGTTGTTGGAGGTGTAGGAAAAATTTTACGGGATTCTCAGCTCAAAATCAAAATCAACAAAATTGCAAAGGAAAGCATAACACCTACAAATATGTAAAACTGCTTTTATTGGGAGGTCTTTTCTGAAATATTTTTATTGGATGTTATAGATTAACTTTTTACTAACGCGTATGCGAAAACCTCATCGAAAATGGAGGTCCGAACGAAAAGTTATGAATTTTTTTAGTGTTAGGTGGTCAAAATGGGTGATGCACTAGTTAATGTTACCAAAGTTCATATCTTTTGTTGATCAGACATGATGGTGAGCCCTGCTCCTTCGATAACACCAATATCTTCTATTAGTAGATGAACCACTTCCGATTCTCTTTGTTCTCCACATCTACTACAGCCCAAGCTAAAGTTCATACCTTGTGTTGATCAGACATGATGATATGTGTCTTTTACTCGGTAAGCACTTACGTTTAAAGAGTTTTTTCATGGTGAGAGTGGACTCACATGAACACAAACTTTGTGCTAACAAGTCTGTTTAGAGGTGGTCGACCTATAAGAGTG